GAGATAGCTAATAATTAAACAATCATCAGCAATGAAGAGGCAACATTGAAGAGTAGTGTTACGCAGTGAACCTAGAAACCTAACTTGTGGTCTCAACTTTGCTGCTAGCAATATGTATGACCATAAGCCCAAAATATTAGCTCTCTGGACCTCAGTTTTCTCTTTAATAACACAGGGGAGTGGGATTAGTCAATCACAGAGAATTCTTTCATCTCTGAGTCTTATGACATCATCCCATTTTTCTTTATTGAAAGTTATAACTCTTATTTCCAGTGGGAACTATATACTACTGGTACCTGTTTTATGTGACAAATGCAGACGATATCAGAATATTAAAATGTACATATCATTAAAGGTGTATTTCAAACATTAGCACACTCGATGGGTTTCCATGAAAATAAATCCCGTGTGAGCGTGAAAACACCTGCACATAGTATATAATGAGAAAATATTAGTGGTGTCAAATTTTCAGTTACTGTAATTTGCTCTATTTTACTGTTCAGCGCAGCATCTTAGGAGGCCCTATCGAGTAGTAGAAAGAATATGATGTCACAGTGAGGACTGGATTCAAGTTCAGCCCAACCGTAAAGCAGCGTGTGGTTCTTACAAATTAGAATTAGAAATTAGGAAATAGAATAATCGGTTCTCAAAAACTAGTTCTTTTACCTTGATGTTTATAACTTACTTTTACCAAATAATATTTCACTAACTTGGTTTTTACACAACATATATATATATCTCATTAATATTTCCTGCTAAATTGATATTCAGAATGTGACTTAGTATACTTTGCCATATATAATTTATCCAGGAAATAATTCAAGAAGTCATCTCACAACATCTTGCGTCTTCACAATAAATGCCTGAAATCAACACAGTTTAATTCAGTCTATGGTGACATTTAATCAAAAATAATTGGCAAATGCACATGTAGTTTATTGTATGCAAGGATATGAATAAACAAACACAGTTAAAAAAATACAGACATTTATATTCACGTGTACATGTATGCATATATATTAGTAGTAAATTTAAAATACTTCTGTTCACTTGTCACATTGATTCACTAATAGCATCCACTAACAATATGGTTACCTTCATGCAGTAATAACATTTACTGCTCTTCTACTAATAAAAGGTTACGCAGTCATAGTAGAAAATTTAGAAAATTCAAAGGGATGAAGAATAACATTGTCTCATATCTCACTATTCTCTCACTATTTTAAGAGAAAATATTTTAATATGTTGGTGTGTAGCCAGCTGTACAATTTTTCATACATATTTACAAGTGATGTATAGCATATATTTTATATTATAGGCACATTTGAGCAGGTTAAAGGAAAGTAACCAGGAAGAATCCTAATGTTTAATATTTGGCTTTGTCATTTAATACAGTGTGCCTTGTTACCTGTCCTTAAAAATTCCTTTAAGATACTTTAAGCTTTCTTGTGTTCAGTTTTATGGATAGAGCTTCATATAATAAATCATCAGATGTTTAGATTGTTTCTTAAAATGTTTATATTATAAATATTATAATATAATATGGACTTCATGAACAAACAAAACTATAGTCTGGGTCAGGATAAATTCACAGGAGCAAAAATTAATTAGGTAAAGTATATAACAATTTAAAGGCTCATGTTATATATTGCAAAATTCTCCAGAAAAGTTATACCAACTATTCTCACACCAGAAATGTAAAAACGATGCATTCCATCACATTCACTCTAACATTAGGAATTATTTTGGAAAAAAACCTTGTTACTTAAGGGATGAAAGATGATATCTCGTTATAATTCTAATTAGCATTCATTTGCTTACTAGTGGCCCTTTGCTATTTCTTTTTTTTTAGGGAACTGCCTGTTTATGCCCTTCATCCATTTTTCTATTAGGGCAGGCTTACTCGTTTTATTCATGTTCTACACAGAAAATTAAAACATCATTCAAGTGCTAAACCCATGCTAAATTCTATTATGATGCAAAGTAATTGTAGGTTGTTGATGCTATTTACAAATCGTATCTTATTTTATTTCACCATTGAAATAAAAAGTTGCACTCACAATTAAGTCTGCCTCCTTAGTAGAATTCAGTCAAGTAAGACAAACACTCCTAAATTTTGACTCTAAAACTGCTCACATTCTTATGGCTGCAAAATACTATTCTAGTATCATTATTAAAGCACCTAATATATTTCTGTGTTCGCTTCATTTATTACATGCCATAATGGGACTGCATATATCCAGTTCTGGTTATGCACAATTAGCACTTAGTTATTGTCTTGTCACTTCAACCCCAACAAGACAAACTTCTTCAATGCAGGAAGTCAGCTTATCTTCATCAGCCAAGCAAAGCAGATACATTGTGTTCCTCTCAATACAAAAACTTTTCAATATAAGAGATTCTGCTTTTACTTTGACATTTCTTTAGGAAGTCCCCTTCAATAAAGCCATATGCCAACGAGCCTAGACTTTCAGTAGTATTGCACCTTTTCAAGTGAAACTCAAGGCATATAAGGAATTTATAGGCACTTCCCCTTAAGCAAACTTTACTGACATCTGAAATTGTGGTATTATCCATGCTTGTGAATTTCATTCAGCATTCATTTTCAATCAAAATATTTTTAAAGCAAAATAGCTCTGACTGTTTAAAAAATTTAGCAATAATGACCTTTTGGAATTGGTTATCTCTTGGACACACTCTCTCTGTCCCTTTTGCAGGGGTATGACTAAAAATGTCCAGTCCTGAATTAAAAATCTAAAAGCTTCTCTATTTTGTTTTTTTTAATAATTAAAAAAAAATTATTTTCTTTATTGATCTTAGAGAGAGAGGCAGGGAGAGAGAGAGAGAGAGAGAGAGAGAGAGAGAGAGAAACATCACTTGACCACCTCCTGCATGCCCCCCACTGGGCATTTGGCCCATAACCTGGGCATGTGTCCTGATGGGGAATCAAACCCATGACTTCCTGGTGCATGGGTGGACACTCAACCACTGAGCCACACCGGCTGGGTGGAAAGCTTCTCTATTTTGAAAGGAAATCAAAAGAAGCTTATTTGGGGTGTCTTGTATAATAACTTGAATCTTATTCAGAATTGGAAAATTCTGTGTAATAGTTAATTTCTGAAAGGTGAATAAGCCTTTCCCCCTTAGAAAATTCTATAAAACTAAATGATGGTTTTATAAGAAAAGTAAAAGACATGCTTGTTTGTAATAAAATTGCCTCAAATATGTACAATTGTATAACATTTCAATTTTCTTTCATTAAAAGTAAAAGCTTTGTGCTTGGCTCTGTAGGGCCAGAGGGAAGTAAAATCGAGTTCTTCTTTTAAAGGTATTCAGAGCTAGAGGAGAGATGGGACCTCAGAGACCCACAGGATAGTGTGATTGATGCTAAACAGATTCATCCCAATGGAAAAGAGTCCATCCTGGAAGTCTTAGGGACACATCACAGGCTGATGTGCTGGGTTTCATAAACCACCTCCCTAAGACTGGTTGGGACATAGGAAATATGTCTGGTGGGGAAGCAGAGCAGGTGAGGAAGCCAAGAAGCAGTAAGGAAAGAAATTCCCAGACAGCTGGAAGAGCATGAAAGGCATGAGGGTGTGAAAGCATCTAATATGTTTAGGAAATAAAAAGTAGCTCAGTGTGGCCCAGCTGGTGTGGACTACTGGTTGTGCGTGGACCCATGCACCAAGAGGTCACCAGTTTGATTCCTGGTCAGGACACATGCCCAGGTTGTAGGCCAAATCCCCAGTGTGGGGCATGCAGGAGGTGGCCAATCGATGTTCTCTCTCATCGATGTTTCTATCTCTCTCTCCCTTACACTCTCTAAAAAAAAAAAAATCAATAAAAGAAAAAAAATATTTTAAAAAGTAGCTCATTGTGCTCAGAGACTAGATAAGGAGTTTGTAGGATGGAAATGGGGAATAGGGTGAGGAGCGCGAGATACAATTGTAAAGGTAGAGAGTTAGTGATTGAAAGTCAAAATGAATACAAATTTAAATTACTGCACCTAAAATACCTTTGATATTCAAAGCTATTTGACCCCAGAATAAGTCTATCTTCACCTATATTTAATGACCACCCACCTCAAGCGATAGTACAATGTTTGTGAGTGTTCAGAAGAAATAAAGCTCGTGGTTCTTTATCTCAGCACTACTGTCCACATTGGGGAACCTGGCACACACTCATGAGAACATTTGAAACGCCAAAGTAAATGAATGACATACTAATAAATAAGTGCTTTGGGAAAGGTCAGAATGAGTTGATCCAGGAACACTGATGGAAGGAATGGAAACTAAAGGATGTTTAGAATCTAGGTTGGATGATAAAAAGGAAGAAACATCCCTGGCTAGGTAACATTGTAAGCAAAGATGAAAAACTTGTCATTGGCAAATAATGAAAACACATTCTTTTCTTCTACTTTATAGATGTGAAAACTTATTTTCAGAGGTGTTAAGGAACTTCCCAGAGGTGTGAATGTATTCTGTGTATTTACATAGCTTAAAATTAGTGCGACTTAGATGAAAATGCACATCCATGTGATTCCACATTCTGAGCCTGTTTTGGTGTTTTGTTTTGTTTTGTTTTGTTTATCATTATATTGCATTATTCAGACATTTTATTATTGCTTTTGCTATTAATAATAGGTAATCTTTGTATGGGGGCCTATTCAATATATCAAGCATAATATTAGACACTTTATTATATCTTTCCTTTATATTGAATTTATTGTGGTGACACTGACTAACAAAATTATACAGGATTCAGGTGCACAGTTCCACAACACATCATCTGTACACTGTATTGTGTGTTCACCCCAAGTCAAGTCTCCTTCCGTCACCATGTATCCCCCCTATATCCTCTTCCACCTCCTCCCTCTCCCCATCCCCACCCCTGGCAGTCACCACACTGTTGTCCGTGCCCATGAGTTTTCTCTCTTTTTTGCTCAATTCATCCACCATCCCTCACCCCTCAAAGCTCTCCAATGGCTGTTAGACTACTCTTTATCTATGAGTCTGTTTAACATGTACTAATTCATTTAATACTCAAAATAACCCATACGTAGGTATTATTACTGGACTCATTTTATAGACGAGGAAACTGAAGTACAAAGTAGTTAAGTAGCTAATCCAAGATGACACAGTTAGAAAATGGTGGACTCAAGATTTGAACCTGGTAGTCTGGTTTTAATCTCTGGACCCAGCAGGTATGAGGGCTGTGGCAAGAGGGGACTTTTATTTTCTGACGACATGGACATAAACATGATTCGATACAGTTGTGCTACAGAAAGGTGGACTTTGAACACTTTCCAGCAGGACTCGGGGTGTGTGTAGTGTAACTTGGTGCATAAGAGATTGTCATGAATGAAATGTGAAATGACAAGTGGGCTGTCACTGGGAGAATGACAGTGAATGTGTGCCCACTTCTGCAGCGATGGGGCAGTGAGTATAACCTGCACCTCTTACTGAAAGCAAAGTTCAGTATCAAAATCTTCATCTTTCAGAAACTGAGGTTGCTAAATAGGAAAGCAGAGACATTGGACATAGGGATTGGATTCCCCCTCTTTTTAAAGCGCTGTGGAAATGGAAATTAATTATAATTGACAGTCACTGCCCCGAGGGAAGTAAGATGACTAAGTTAGCATCTTCATTTCTTAGAAAGGATATTACATGTGGAGGCTTCTTAGCAGAGGCTTTTGATAACCTGCTCAAAAGTACTCTAGGCCCCATGTTTTATAGGGATGATTTATCAATTATACTTATTTTCTGTGCTTGTCAACTGTATAGGCCCACATGGATTCAACTAGAATCACTCCAAAATATCTAGAAATTAAATCTGTTATTAATTCCAGAACATCACGATTAGATGGTTTGAAAATCTATTTAGGCATCTTTTTATTCTGTAATTTTTTTAAATGAAAGAAAAATTAATTGAACTGACTCTATCACAAGTAATGATTACATTACAAAAAAAAAGAGATTATCAGTTTATTTTCAGGAATTTTTGTCTACTTATTAATATACTAACAGTATTCTCTGGCCATCAGTACTTTTAAAATACTTTTTCTTCAAGTGCCTAATCTCACAAGGAGCTGGTTGTATAGCATTGGAAATGAGCCTGCTTTACAAAGTCACAGTTATGGGATCACTTTGTTAAGTGTCTAATGTCTGCATTGCTGTTTCATCTCTTCATGTTTATATATATGAAACATTTTAAAGGAGGACACCACCAATTTTAATTGCATCCCAACCATAATGTGCCCTTAACCATCGCTTTGCAGGCCGTACTGTTTGAGTCGTGTGTGTAATTGTGACATTCCTCACCCATGCTCTGTTTCATCATGACCTTTAAGTATAAATTGAAATGCACGTAAAATGTACTTTACCCAGTTGACAATGTATTAGTAACAAAATATTCAGGTAGGACTATTTCAGATGAATTTCATTTATATTACCAACATCTCATTGTAGAGTAGGCCTTTTTAAGTTACAAAAAGAAATAATCAGAACACACAAAAATCTATATAACTCTGTAGCCTCATGCTTTACTGCCTCCAGGTAAAAGCATGAGCCTTGAATCCAGAGAAACCTGATTCCATTCTTCCTGTACCATGTACATCCTAGCTGCGAAACGTTGGGCAGGTATTTAAATTTGGGAGGGAGCCTCAGGTTTTTCATCTGAAGAAAAGCAATGAAAATATCTGTGATCTGGGTTGGATGAAAAGAATCATCTGATCACATATATACATGCTTAGCCTTAGCACATGTTAAGTACTTTATGAAAGGTGGCTATTTTCATAACTGACATTTGAGCCATTAAGGTAAGGCTTTACGTATTTCATTTCTACTCTTTACCACAAACTTACAAAAGCGAGTGATATCACAGGTAAGAAACATTGGAGATTCATTTTAATATCATAAGTGCAAAATTGAGATTGAACCCTTTTTGTTGCTGTATTTCTTGTTACAACATCCCTAATAATCCAGTGCTGTAGCTGTTTACTCAGATGACTAACTCAGGAAACGTATGAAGTGTACCTTATACATGGCATTGGGTAGCTGATAGCGGCAGGACGGACCCCCAGGCTCTTGGTTCATGCTTTTTCTCACTGTAATGACCCTGAGTTTATGAATCTACAGATAAAAATTATCTAAATTTCAAGGCCTCTGAAGGTAAAAGTGATGTGATATGACATTCCAAAAAACAAACAAACAAACATGTTATACTTGACAGTGAATAGAATTTGGGGGATTGTTACAAATTATGTTGAAAAATTAAAACAAAATTTCAGACAATATGAAGTTGCAAGAATATTTGCAGTTTAGTTCATTTCTAGGGAAAAAAAAGATTCAGTAATATCAGCTGGAGTACGAGTGTTTTATTGAATTTATTTTTTATATATTTTATTATAAGTGTCTTAGTTCAAATTAATTTAAATAGTAATAAAAATAGAAAATTTTAAGCAGTAATGACATATATTCTTCATGCTGTTTTATATAATCTCAAAAATGTTAAGTATTTCAATTGGCTATTAGGCCTGTCCTTTTCCTCAGTGTCTTAGTAATCAGGATAATCTAAAAAAAAACGGTTTATTCCAACACTACTTTTTAAGCACAATATTTAAACTTTACAGTTTGCAACCAATAAAAAGATGCACTTCAATTCCAAACATGAATGTTCATTGTATCCACTGGCCTTGACCACAAACAACTCCAGGATTTCAAGATCAGCACATAGTCTGTACTTTCAATCAACATCATCAGCAGGCAGTAATCCCGAGGAAAAAAAGTAAATGCCACAAATAAACAGAGCAATCTTCTTTAAGAGGAAAGCTAATTCTTTTCAATCTACTTTTTTTATTACACCATTTTCCCCTCTATCTACTTAAGCTAGAATAAGGATAAATTTCCAAAGCTACCCAGTTGGAAAATAAATAGGTTCACTGTTTGTCTAGCATTCCAATCTTTGCAAATGTAAATCAGTCCAACTGCTCCTCATTTAAACTTTCAACTTCACAAAACATTCAAGGGTGGCTTTCACTACACAATTTAATCTATCCACTAAGATTTCTGCTTGAACATCATTCCAAATTGACTATCTGATAAAGAGAGACCACTATCAAAGGTCAGTGAGGTCAACTTTTATAATTACAAATAGTTTTACTGGGTCAACTCTACTAGGCACTGCTGTTTGAAGGTTAAATTGTTACAATTAAAAGTATATACAGATTTCCTCAGAGTTACTTTATTGTTAAATGTACCGGAAACGGCACAAGCATTTGTTTCTGACCTTAATTGTGTCCAAAGTGTCACCACTGGGAAATTATACAAAAAGAGCACTTATTTTGTTTTATGGAATAAAAAATAATTAGCTACTGGGTACTAGTTTATTTATCACATCCATATTAAGAATTTTGTTCAGGTTATGCCCTTTGGTTTAATTGAAATTGCTCCAAGAAATGACATTTACTATTTTATAGTTGATAAACTTGCCACAAAGGAATATGGTCCAGCATCAAAGTCTGGTGCATAACAACATTGACTTCAGGATGATCGCTTCCAAATTACTAGAATTTAATCACATGTTAATAACAGAGAGCAAAGGGAAGCTTTAAATGGAAAACTTTAAAATCGACTTTTTTTTAAATTGTTTGATTCATTATAATGCCTTTTATTTTATTTTTTTGGTAAACTGGATAAATGGCCTATCATGAAATCTTCCACAATCATTGCAGTGAAATATTATCATTTGTTCTTATTTTACTGAACGTATATATAGATCAATTATTTTTTTTCTTTTTAATGTGGCAAAATAAAAATAAAATCACCTTTGCTGCCCTATGTGTTTTCCTTGATATTCCTATGATTTTTTTAAAAAATATATATGTATATATACATATACATATGTGTGTGTGTGTGTGTGTGTGTGTGTGTATATATATAGTAGGATTTCAAAGTTGTGTGCATTGTTTTAGTGTTGACAATAAAGGCAACTTTCTAAGCTAAGCTTCCAATTTCAGGGAATTATCATGTGAAAGCATTATTAGGAAAAGAAAACTTCAAATCTATAGCTCTGAGTGAAATGGTCTAACACGTTTTATTTTTTTTTTAAATATTTTCAGATTTTGTGTTGGAGACAAATTTTTCCTAAAGAATAACATGATCCTTTGCCAGACGGACTACGAGGAAGGTTTAATGAAAGAAGGTTATGCACCCCAGGTTCGCTGATCTATCAACATCACCCCATTAAGAATACAAAGCACTACATTCTTTTATCTTTTTTGCTCCACATGTATATAAGAATTGACACAGGAACCTACTGAATAGCGTAGATATAGGAAAGCAGGATGGATATACGAAATAAAAGGGGGACTGCATCTGTATGTAGTGAAATTGCCCCAGTTCAGAGTTGAATGTTTATTATTAAAGAAAAAAGTAATGTACATATTGCTGGATTTTTTGCTTGCTATTCGTTTTTGTGTCACTTGGCATGAGATGTTTATTTTGGACTATTGTATATAATGTATTGTAATATTTGAAGCACAAATGTAATACAGTTTTATTGTGTTACCATTTGTGTTCTGTTTGCTTCTTTGTATTGTTGCATTTAGTACAATCAGTGTTTAAACTTACTGTATATTTATGCTTTCTGTATCTACCAGCTATTTTAAATGAGCTGTAACTTTCTAGTAAAAAAATTGAAGAGCAAATCTCACTAATATACACATATAGATAAAGCAAGTCTATCAACATTAAAAAGACTAAAAAATAAAGACACACACAAAGCGTTTTAAGCAACATCCACTATTATGGCCATTATGATTTAGTCTATCCGTGTTCTCATTATAACCCCCTATTTTCAGGGGGTTAAGATCAGCTTTAAAAAAATGCATAAAATTTTCATCTTAAAGCACTTTCATTTTATACCAACGTGAAAAGTGCCACTTTTAGAATAACTTTTAAGCTTAACAGTTATCCTTTTAATATCCTTTGTGTGTGTGTGTGCGTGTGTGTTACGTGTACACGCGTGCGTGCGTGCGTGCTCTTTACCTATATTACAGCTTTGTTGTTTGTTTGTTTGTTTGTTTGTTTTTTCCAGCCATTCACCCCTTATGTGAACTAGTGCCTTTGGGTATCATGTAAATTTTTTCCAAAGGGTTACTTTAAAAAAGTGTTACCACAATTGTGAGATAATTTAAATATGATTAATTAAATTTCTTGTACAAATTTTGCCCAGATCTCTCCACAAGAGCTAAGTGTTTAATGACTTTATGGCTTGATAGATTTCTGGCACTAAAAGGATTTGAATGTGAATCTACTGAAATCATGATAATGCACATTGAAGCTATGAAGATATTTGAGTAGTGAGGTTACTTTTGAACGAGCAACATAGTGCTCATCTTCTAGAAGAGAAAAAAAAAGGGATTGATAAAAAGCTGAGAACTGGTGATTATATATTTTTCTGTATTTCCCTGCCACTTATTTTAATGTTTAGAAGTGAACACTTTAAAGTTTGATATGTCTTACTCTTACTTTCTTTAATTACCCATTCAGAATACATCACATTTAAGCTGAAATCTGTCATTCCACTTTTTAAAGGTAAAATATTTCTTTACCTACATGATAGCTGATAAAGAAGAAAACTTTCTAGAAACAGAAATTATGGAGATTGACTATTTAAATTACAATTTAAGAAATAAAAATGAGTCTATAATCCCCTCTTCTGGGTTGCTCACACTTTGCTTCTGTTTCCTGTAATAAAACTACATTTTAAGAATTTAATCCCATGCAGGCACAATGAAGCCTATTTTTAGTAGAGCAAATTTAGTGCTGTGGTCTTTCTTTTTTCTTGATCGCTTGTATAGGAAACAAATTTCCCGGTGTTATTTGCATAAATATTTTGTCCTGTCAATATATGTATTGCAAATGAAAATTAAGTGTGATACCTGAATTCTTGGTTTGGGGCCAAAATATTAAGCTGCAAATAATGCTGGTGTGGATTTTGAGTTGTTTTAAAAACAAAGCTTTATTATGGACATGCATGTGAATCTGGATATTGCCTCTAATTTTTAAGAAAATGATTCTGTGAAAGTGAATGATATGTATTTTTACAGATGCTTCATGGTTAAGAGTGTTCAAGTCACGTGTCCCCCAAATTCGAGGTACACCAAAAAAATAAAAAATAAAAAGAATTTCAAACATTAGCTATTTGGGGCCCATAATTATACCTATTATTTTAGCCCTACAGCCTTACATTTGTTTCCTGAAAAGACTTGCATAGCCAAAGCCAAAAACAGCAAAACAAAACCGAATGGAACGAATGGGTGCAGGGGAAATAGCGAGAAATGGCTTTCATAGCTTTGCAGCCCTGCTAGTCCCCATTAAGAGTTGCTTAACATTCATGTGAATGCACAGTTTTAATTGTCAGTATCTTTTCCAAATGATCTTTTAAATATTTCAATGTTTTTGCATAGATTCAGATCAATATGTCAAAATACCTGTAAACTGGGAACAAAACTGTTCAACTATCCTTGGCACCCAAAGACCAAACAGCCTTTTAGTTTGCATAATCCTTTGGGAGTTCATTCTTATGCTTTTCCTACAAACAAAATCACCTAGATTAAAGATTAAGGCCTTAATCTCCTTAAATTATCTTTAATCTCTATGAATCTGTGAAGTGACAGAAATAGGCCATTTTATAACTAATTGCCCATAAATAGTAGCATTTTTGACCTGAAGTACTAAGCTAATTGTCTTGACTATTCAAAGTCCCTGAACTGTTGTCAACTTTCCTCTTTGTGTTGTGTAGCCCTGATGTCACTTAGCTTGTTATCTGATGCCTGCAGTAGGACACCTCCAATGGAGCTTTGATTTCTCAAGCAGGGGAAGCGCCCTTCCTAACACGCGTCCCATGTAGGCTGCCTCTGATGAAGGCCCAGGCACCTCCAGTCCTCCAGAATGCTGGCTGAGTTTAAAGGCTGACCTGTGTTTGTAATTTCACTTTCATCTTGCTTAATAAATATCTGCTGGATTCTTTCATTCATTTTTTATACTTGGATTTATGTTTTTAATAAAAGGGGTATTACACTATTTTACTGCTCTTAATTGGCAAACTTCTAGATGCTCTCTAGAAAGTATACATGGAGTTCATGAACAAGGAAAAATGTGTAAGGACATTTGCTTTTAAAAGGTAAATCACAAGCATAAACAAAGTAGCTCAAATGCTTCCTCCAAACATTATATTTAAGATCTCTGCTCTAGGTAGTTTACTGCTATTTACTTTTGTGGGGAAAATAAAGCTGTCAAAAATGAAGGTAGCAATTACCTGGTATCATTTTGCACATACGTACACATTTTAAGTGATCTTTCTGAAAGCGACTGTGTTGTCAGACTAAATTTCCGATTTCCTCTTTTCTGCACAGTGAATTAAAGCAAAAAACTCAACTAAATCCTGCATTTACAGGGAAGAGATGATGTACCCTTCCTGAAACAGGCCTCTGAAAATTATATCTGGAGTAAAACATACCACATACAAGTGGTTTCCTTTTAACTGTCGCGTTAGACAAACCACCCTCCGAACAGTCACTTAAACAGTTTCATAGAGATCATGTAGTCCTAACACGCTTAGTGTTCACTCCAGTAAGTTGCGAAAACAGTCTGCATGTTTCCTGTCATAGGCCATTAGCACAGAATACAGTTTTAGCAAAAGCCCTCTGATGATTACTTTTTTTAAAAAACACCATTATAGATATCTCTTACATGAAATTTTACTGCAATTTAAGATAACAGAATGCCAAGCTTTAACAGAGCCATGATTTCAGTGAACATTAATTGAGAACCTACTATGTGCCAGGCCTGGCCCCGAGCATTCAGCCTCCTGATGGGCAGGCTTAGGACGCTTCAGACCTCAGGTGACTTGAAGGTATCTTTGCACTGGTTTGGACTCATCTCAACCCACTGATAATGAGCACACAAAAGCAAATACGATCTACCTATTCAGCTTGTCATTGCTATGAAAAGCCCAGAAAATATCTCAAGTAATCAATGTGTTCAGAGAATTATCTCACACAAATTGCTCATTAACTCAATAGCACATAATAAAAAAGAACATCAATTAATTAATGAGTCACTCTCAGATCACTCTGATTACAATAGAGCTTGGTTGAAACAGCAGTTACAAATGGAGCTGCCTCTTTCTTCATTGTTTGCAGTTGGTCCATTATTTGGCTGAAACCAGTGTCATATTTAACACGTGCCTGTAGGTAATTGTGTGATTAGTATCATAAATGCAGAATTCAGAAAGTCGACTTCTTAAAAGACCTTAGAAATGGTCAGAAAAATTTTTTAAGAATTCTCATTTTTATGATAGCTTCATTTGAAGCCAAGCTATTACAAGGGTATTATCTATCTACCTGGTATATTTCTGTGACCAGTGAGATGACAAGACCTCAGTTCTTGTCTTCTTGAAGGAAAGATCTCAGGCAAGAGACAAAGCACAGACAAGCAAGCAAGAGTTTATTGTCTGCAGCAAATGAATACTCGGGACCATGAAAGGAGGAAGGGTGTGGAAGAAGCAATAGCAGAGCCTAGGCAGGGCTGCCTTGGCTCATGGGGAAGTCAGAGAAAAAGGGGACTTGGAGACAGGGTCAGGCATTAGTGGGGGATAAGCTGCCAAAGCCCATTGCTCCCCTGGTTGCAAGTCCCCTGGGGTCCCTTAGAGGGGAGAAGGGGTAAGGGAATCGCATGGACATGCCCCCCTGGGGGAGAGCACTCACTGGGTCCTTTGTGTTGCGGGTATTTCTCTCTCTTACAGGTGGGAATCTCAGGGGAGGTCTCGGAGGAGGGTCTCAATAGAATATTCATCAGCTTCCCTGGTGGGCTCTTTCCTCCTGGTCTCCACTGATTGGTTGGAACCAGGGCAGGGGGTCATTAGTCAATGCAACTTGTCCTGGGGCAGCCAGGGCATCACTTGTCTGGTTTTGCTCTTTTTGTGGGCCTGGAGCTGAAATACAACTAAGGCCTAGCTGGTGTCTTTAGGGAGGAAAATTCAGGGGGTTTAAACCTCATAACCACTTATATGAAAGGTCATGAGTCCAAACTGCACGATCAGTGACATGCTAAGGGAGAAAAGGTTACCCTGGGGACAAGGTCCTGTCTTCCCCCTTGTCAGGCACCAGGGCTTTCTGTACCCATCCCATCGTCCTCTGCTCCTGTGTCACTGCATAGTACACTTCTACATTTATAATCAAGATGTAAGACTTTCACGTTGAACATTATAGGGATTAGTTGCTAAAACACAAAAATAAATTTTACAATGCTTCAGAATACACAATTTGATTTCAGTAACTTTTCACAAAAACTAAAATGGGCATGACCAATGTTGTAACATTTTGGTCCTCAGAAGGACATTTTCACTTCCAGTGGGCCCAGCTGGGGAGGGTGTGTGGGGATTGACAGCCATCAGGAGAAAGAGTAAAAGAAATACCAAATATTGCATACAAAGTCAGCAGCTAAACTTTCCCAGCTATCTTGGTAAATGCCATGCCAATAAGCTTATAGAATAATGATATCAGTTCCCTTAGGTAAGTCAGAAACATCTGTTGGTAACACATAGCAGGTGTTAACAATTACACATACTGAAAATTTTAAAAATGTTTTTAATTAAAAGAATTTTTGTCTTCTGAAAAGGAAAATATGTTAAATTCAAAGATGCTCCTGTTTTGAGTGTGCAGAGCACGTAATGCACAAAATTGTAAAGCCCAAATCATCTTGGATCAACTAGGTTTCGTGTTCGGTTCAGATCAAGGCAATCAAAAGTGAGTTAGAATTCATTGCACCGTTTACACAACCGGTATTCTGAGCTGAAGAGCTGAATGCTCATGAAATTTGTATAGCAGAGCTGATTACAGAATATTTTGGATTTATTAGCCAGGTGGTTGCTGTTAACTATACCAAATTTAATGGACACAGTACAAAGAAAAATGGAAGCAAGAGACATTCA